GGATGACCTCTCCTGCAGAACATTCCTTATTTCTCCTCAAGGCCTCCACAGCTGTGGCCATGTTGTTCGCCTCATTCTACCTTTCTCTCAGAGGAAAGCTGAGCTGATGTTGCCAGGGTGAGGTTGAAAAGGTGAACAGGTTCAGATAGCAGACATCCTCTCCGGAGTTCCTGAGAGCCACTGCATCCAGAGATGTGCCTCTCACTGGAGCTGCCAATCCTTCATTCCCTCCACACTGTTTCCTGCCCATATAATGCATCTGTTTTTACACCTGACCCCAAGGGAGGACAAACAGAGAAGGAGAATCTGCTCTGATTCCAGCACAAGATCAGCCCGCTCACATCTGTCTCATTCTCTGTCTTTACAGAACCTGGCTAAGCTTGATTTTGTTGGAGATCCCAGAGAGGTAAAGACCTTAGCTTTCTTGATTACAGATTTTAAGTCTTAGTACTTTTTAGTTCCAACTAGTTATAACGTCTTTGTGGATCCTGCTGTGTACATTGCTGTGTATATTGTTGTCCTTGTAGGTATATTGTTGAGATTGAGATGGGAAGTTACTTGCTAGGTAACATAGCCAGGAACCAGCAGCAGGATTAGAACCCACTCCCTATTCCCAGTCCAGTGCTCTCAGTCAGCAGTTTGCTGACTGAGTTTGCTGTTTGCATATACCTCTCTCATTTATGTTTCCTGAATTCAAAATGCATCTTCAGAAGGAGACTGAACTAGAATTGTCTACTACGAAGAGGACAAAGTCATTGGCTAAAAGGCTGGGCCCTTTCTGTGGAGGACGGATCTCTCAGAAGGTCACGGGGTTGGTTTTTGGTATAGCAGGAAACTGAGGATTTCAGTTCTGGGGCAATCATCCTCCTAGAATCCATGGAACCCTTTCTCTCCTCTTCTCGTCCCTCACACTTGCAAGGACTTGCCAGGGTCTTGTGCCATGAACTGTGCAGCATCTCACCATCGTGTCCTCTCTAGATAGCTCCTTGTGATACTAGTTTTACCTTAAAGAAGTTGTAAGGATGAAATAAGATTCTTTCAGTCATCCTGCAGTGGTGCATGAAGCCCTTACTATCTGATAGCAGCTGGGACATGGGAGGGAATCACAGACCCAATTCTCTGCTCCTTGGAGCTGTCTCCCAGTTAGGGTGGGTAGTTGGATAAGAAGTCCATAGAACAACAAACAAAATATGTGGTGTATTTCATGAAAATCAGAAATGAGATTTTTAAAGTAAGAATGAAGATAAGGTTGGAGTCAACTAGTGGTTTGAATGTGGGCTTCAGTAGAGTCTATATTAATTGTAAGCAATCTATATTATGTAATGGGTCTTTGAAAAGGAACACACACACACACACACACACACACACACACACACACAAAGGGGGTGAGGGAGATACTGTTGTGAATGAAATCTTACAAGAACCCAAATGTGGACAGTCCCTGCAGCAATGTCTGCTAATTCAGCACTCACTGCAATTCCATAGACATAACCACAATGGAGAGGAAGAAAACAGTAGATGTATAGATGATAGATAGCTACATGTATACAAAGGGACTTCAGAGTGCGCATGGACTGCATGTGCTGGGTACTTTCCTTTCCATGGGATTCAGCTCCCTTGTTTCAGCCATGGTCACCTAACAACACCAACTCTAGTTACAGCGCGGCTCTGGGGGACTCACAGACTTAGGCTACATAGGATCCTTCAATCCTATGTAGGAGGCTGTGTGCTGTCTCTGCCTCCATGCAGAGAGGTGGCTGGAGGTGTTGCCTGGGGAAGTGCATTCAGACTCTACATTTATTTCTTCCCCAGAGCATTCCCTTCCTGCCCACTGTGGTTGATGGAGTGCTGTTGCCCAAGTCACCTGAAGCGATTCTGGCTGAGAAGAGTTTCAACACTGTTCCCTACATCGTGGGAATCAACAAGCAAGAATTTGGCTGGACCATTCCAATGGTGAGGATGTACAGAACTGTTGACAGACTTCACCCCAGACACATCATCAGCCACCTCCCTCTGACTCTGCTCCCATCAGCTCATTTTTTTTCTCTCTGTCTTCTGTGTCCAAGAGAGTTATCCTTGTCAAAAGTAGATTATTTTTGCAGGTCCTGGGGCTTGAACTTAGGGCCTGGGTGCTCTCCTTGAGCTTCTTTTTCTCAAAGCTAGCACTCTAACACTTGAGCCACAGTGCAAGATCCAGCTTTTTCAGAGTAGTTTCTTGAAGATAAGAGTCTCATGAACTTTCCTGCTCAGACTGGCTTTGAATGCAATCCTCAGATCTCAGCCTCCTAAGTTGCTAGGATTAAAGGCATGTGCCACCAGCACCAGGCAAAAGTAGACATTTCAATGGGAATATTCCCTAGAATGGACAACTGTCCCGTGGATGGTGGAGCCCTGGAAGTTCCTCTTCCCCAACAGCATCTTTTACTGAAGGATTCTCATGCAGACATGAGAATTGTGCAGATGGAAAAGCCTAGGACATCCTGAAGGGGAAGGAGCTGGGATTCAATAGAGTCAGACTGGGATGCAACAATATCTACTAAACCTGGACTCACACATCTCTTAGACCCCCACAATGTCTGCAAGAGCTCTCAAATGTCTCCTTGCAAATATTCATGGGTAGTTGTTTCTTCTATTTGCCAGTTCTGGAGCTTGGACACAGGACCTGTGTTTTGTCTATGAGCTTTTTCCCTCAAGGCTAGCTCTACTATTTGATCCACAACTCCACTTCTGGCTTTTTGGTGGTTAATTGGAGAGAAGAGTCTCACAGACTTTCCTGCCTGGGCCGGCTTCAAACTGCAATCATAAGATCTGTCTCCTGATTAGCTAGGATTACAGGCTATAGCAACCAGGGCCTGGCAGAAGCTGCTTCTATGTGACTAAGAACTGGCTTCTTAAAATCATATAAGGATTTTTCATTTTCATAAATAAACAAGTAAAGCAGTAGGTTAGGTTTTATTCAGTAATATGATTACAATTAGGAAAATATCTAGCTTCAAGATACATACTAACAGCTGGAGAAGATTCAAAGCTGGATGAGCTTTGGGAGGCCCTGTGGGGTGAGGGCTGAATCCATTTCTCTGGTTGGTGAATTTAAGAGTACACATACCCACACATCCATGCACATGCACACACATATTCAACACTCACACAATGCAGTGTGTGCACACACACTAACACACTCACACCTATAGGAAAGCAGCTTTCTCTCTCATTATGATAAGATATAGAGGTGTAATTGATGAATACTCATGTTAGGCCTTTACTTTCCAAGGAACTAGAGAGAAATCAAGAGTCATCCCCCCAAATATATACATTTCAAACAGGTTAAAAAAGTTATCAGAAAGTTTGCCTTGAAACACTTAAGGAAAGAGTTTGGGGCAGAAAAGTGGTTGATTACTGCCAGATTTGTAAGTAGCTGGTCTACAAGAGGATTGTGTATCTGCCTGTCCTGGGATTCGCTCCTTCAAGTATTGAGCGCCTCATATACGCATTTGACGGGGCTGGAGTCATTCTAGGACATAGCCTTGAGCCACTGGAGCCATGCTGCAGTTGGGTCAGGCCTCTGAGTCAGAAATGTGGACAGGATCAATATATGCTGGGAGCTGTGCACTGAAGGAGGATTTCTGCGTTCAGCAAAGGAACTCAGCCATGATTTTGGTTCCTTGGTCACCTGGGTCTGTGGGTTGTGCCCTGTGTCTTCCCTCCTTGGGCTCTTGGTTTCTAGACTACGATCAAATATTCCTTTGACGCTGACTGACCATTGTACCCTCTGCAAGCACAACATTTTGTGATGCTCTCTTTCCACCCCTACAGTTTGTATATGTCAATCCATTTGTTTCATTGGTTTTGATTAAATTAAGGAAAGATGCATGCCCATGGAGACCCAAGATAAAAATGTCAACCTATATTGTTTTATGCATTGACCAGCTTGAGTCTTCTCCCTCAATTCTCCATGATTCACAAATATAAAACTATTTTTTAACAGTTTTGGGGCTATCCACTGGAAGGTGAAATGGACAAGAAGAAGGCCTCATCACTGCTGTGGACATCTTACCCAATGCTGGTAAGACTGGAAGGATTCATAGAATTGGTTGAGAAACAATGATGGGAGAGGGTTGCCTCTAATTATGGCAGAGAAAGAAAAAACTGGCTCCTAAGGGTTCTGTCCTCATTTCTCTGCTGTTCCTAGCTAATCAGTACAGTAGAATGAACCCATATACATCGCTTGTCAATGGGAAAATGCAGTGACCCAAGGACAAGAGGGAAAAGGTGTATCTGGAAAGCTGGCCATCTGAACGAGGGGTAGGCTCTCTCCCAGAGAGACCATGTTGCCTGAGGATTTCAGCCTAAAGCTTCCATAAGGAGCTGAGGGGCGATGATCACCTGGGCAGCACCAGGGGGGGTACACATTTTGAATGCCTGCCTTTATTACACCTGAATGGATCTTATCTGCAGGCCATTGTATGTCCTGTGTTCTGTAAATCTAAATAAAATGCTCTGGCTAGAAAGAAATCTTAAAACTTGTACTTTCTTTTCCTTAGCACATAACTATTATACAAAAGATTCTTACCTTTCTGTAGAAGCTACCTTGCTCACCAGGTGTGTGGTCACTATCTTGGTCTCTCTCAGGACCTTTCTGAAGAGCTGATTTCAGCATCCATTGAGAAATATTTTGGAGGAACAGACGACCCTGTCAAAATGAAAGACCTGCTACTTGACTTAATAGCAGATGTGATGTTTGGAGTTCCAGGTGTGATGGTATCCCGGAGCCACAGAGGTGAGTCCCAAGGGTTTTATAGGAGAAGGATGAGGTCTTCCCAGCTCGGTATTTGACCCACCACCATGTGCAAACTGCTGAGGGTCAGGACTCAAATGCTGATTCTCTATGACCTGAGGAAGGGTGCTTTCCTGTTTTGTTCTGCCACTAGAAACCTCTGAGGAAATGATGATCCAGAAACACAATTAGAGATGGAGGCTAATCACTGAATATCACCAGGAACATGTCCCCTGTGGATGGCTGTAGCCAGGAGCCCTGGGAATCATCTCAGGGGGTTCCTGAGAAGCAGTGACCTGGGTAGTGACCCACCAACACACATTGGTTACACCAAGGGATGGTTAAATCCACAGTGTTTTGATCTTTGGCAGACAGAATAGGTGCTAGTGGTCAGAAAATAAAATCATGGACAATGAGCTACAGCAGGGCAGAGAATTCCATTAGAAACTTATAGAGAGGCAGAGGCTAGGCTAACCTTTGCTTTGAGTTCTACTTGACACTGAAGCACCTTTTTAGTTAGTGGATTTCAATCATACAAAGATGGCTTCTATGGATGCACTGATAAAGACAGTGCAAAGGAATCAAATAATTTATTGTTGATATTCATTTGGGATGACATATATTAACACTGGAGAGGAGTGACTGGGAGGATGGAGAAGATTGCAGGAGGTGACTGATTAAGATACATTGTATCCATGAATTGACGTGTTAAAATGAGACACTCTTGTGTAATAAATTCGTGCAATGAAAAATAATAATAATTTAAAAATGACTTCAGTGGCTAGATATATATTTATGTAAAGCAATGACAACATAGCTAAATAGCCAAATAACTAAATAACTAAGATAGCTTGTAGTATTATCCCAATTTTACAAACATAATAGGCATAGGTGCTAAAATGCAGAAGAAGCTTTTTCTGAGTGGTGAGATTATTCATGTGTTTTTCCCTCTGGGTGTTTCAATTTCCCTACTATGCCCATTGGGGATGAATTGTCTAATGCCTCCTGCAGTCTGTCTTAGAGTGACTCGCTGGGCATCATGATCACTGCAGGTGTTGAGCTCCCAAGGCTGTGAGGACTGTGGTGGACCCATAAGGACAAGAATTGCCGTCCAATGAGCCAATCCTCAAGAAAGTGGCATCTTGGGGTTTGAACTGCAGGGCTCTGGTGGTGAGAGGAAGCAGAGCAGAGGAGAGAAGGGTTATGACTAGGAAGCAGGTACCCCCTCCTCTTATCTCTTCCTTTGCCTATCACCTTTACATCTCAAGTCCTTAAGACTGCTGAAACCAAGCAGAGAGTAGGCTATGTGAGCTGACTGAGTACAAAGCCTGAATGTTGTGATTTCCTGAAACAGTTTGTACCATCTCTGTGTGCCTATATATCTAGATACATTGATTTTTAGTTAAGGAGCTTGGAATTGCTTCTCTGAGTGGATGAGAAAGCACTAGAAATGTTCAAAATACACTGGACATAAATTACCTATTAGGTTATGGATATTCTCGAAATAAATAGGAATTCTTGTATTACAAATAAAGATCCAGTAGTGGAGCTCTGACTTAAAGTGATAGAGTGCTAGCCTTGAGCAAAAGAGCTCAGGGATAGAACCCAGGCTCTGAGTTCGGGCCCTATGACTAAGAAAAAATTGTATTTATTCTTTCTTGCAATCAAGAAACTTCAGTTTCAATTCCATTTCTCCTTGTTATACAGCCAAAGGGATTCACTGGGATTTCATTAAATTCTGTTTCTGTTCTGTGCAGGAAACTAGGTTCTTACAAGGCTGGTGATGCAAATACCAGCCAGGTGTGCGTGAACTGCACATAAATCTATTTCCTCATAGATGCTGGAGCCCCCACCTACATGTATGAGTTTCAGTATCGCCCGAGCTTCTCATCTGACCTGAAACCCAAGACGGTGGTAGGAGACCATGGGGAAGAGGTCTTCTTCGTGTTTGGGGCCCCATTTTTTAAAGGTAATGGCTCTTTAGTGACTATGAACTTGAAGTGGGGAGACTTGGATTCCAGGGTTGGTTGGTGGCTTTGAGCAAGTTTCTTTCAATCTTGTTATCTATGTCCTGATTCTTTGATACACAGCTGAGCTACACTGGCCAGTTCCTTTCCTTTCTCCTGCTCTAGCATGCGTGAAGAACATGTGCTTTCCTGTGCCCCATGGACAGTCTTTGTCCATACCTGGCCTGTGAAACCCAGAAAATGGGTGGTGGGTCACCTGCAGAGTTTGCTCCAGAGAATATCAAACCACTGCTTGGTTTGACAAGGGCCCAGTAGAATGAGTGAGGGGACAGTTGGTATTGTTGCTAACCTTGAACCGAATGCTGTAGATATCTATCTGTCCATCTGTCTATGTTGACAGTTCAGACATTTTTACCTATAATATATTGAATAATATGACACTTAAAACCTTTCACAAGTGACTTTGATACCTAAACTCTCAACAGTTGTATATCTTTTTTTTTTTTAGTCGTGGGGCTTGAACTCTGGGCCTGAGCGCTGTTCCTCAGCTCTTCAGCTCAAGACTAGTGCTCTACCACTGGAGCTACAGCACCACTTCTGGTTTTCTGGTGGTTTCTTTGGAGATAAGAGTTTCACAGACTTTCCTGCCCAGGCTAGCTTTGAACCGCGATCCTCAGATCTCAGCCTCCTGAGTAGCTAGGATTACAGGTGTGAGCCACCGGCGCCCAGCTAGTCGTATTATCTTTTATGACCCACTTTCTGCTCTTCATAGCACACTGGTCCCTCTGGGTGACTCCAAGTTGGGGGACTCCATACAACATTTGCAATTCTGACATTTTCAGGCTCTATGAATGGCTCTATATGTCAGGAAATTGAAGGGGGAAAAAACCTAGGCACTAGCCATCTTCCAGAGTAGAGAATACTCTTGGTATGGCATGCTGACCTGAGGGAAGATTAACTGGGAGATAGGCATGGAAGATAAAAGTCACAGATGGATTGTGCATACATTCTTGAGTCCTGTATTAGCCACTCTTCGCCTGAAAGTGTGCACCAGCTCACTAAGGTCATCTTATACAACAGATGTTGACTCAAGGCACAGGGCAAATACAGGCTCTGCCTTTCTAACAAGTTGCCATGCAACACCGATGCTGTGCTCCATGAACCACACCATGAGTAGGGAAACAGCTCTCCTTCTTCCCCACAGAGGGTGCCTCAGAAGAGGAGATCAATCTCAGCAAGATGGTGATGAAGTTCTGGGCCAACTTTGCTCGGACTGGGTGAGGCTGGTGATGAGGATGGGGTTGAGATGGTGGGTGGAAGATGGTGGGCATACCCATTAGAGAGGGAGGTTTCTAACCAGAGCTCTCCCCCAACTGACAGGCTATCCCCACAAATGGAGAGATCCCTGCCTACAGAGATGCATAGGACTCTAGCTTGAGATATGATGAAGGATCTCTGAAAATTTTGAGAAATGTGGGGACCACAGCAGCGTTAAGGAATGTCCATTTTGATTCTGTTCCCAGGAATCCCAATGGGGAGGGGCTGCCCCGCTGGCCAGAGTACGATCAGAAGGAAGGTTACCTGAAGATTGGCGTTCCCACCCAGGCAGCCCGGGGGCTGAAAGACAAGGAAGTGGCTTTCTGGACCCAGCTCAGAACCCAGGAGGCAGCAAAGAGGCCACCCCATGGAGAACACACTGAGCTGTGAACAGGAGGCCCAGTCAGCATGAGCAGACGGGGACAGCCAACACAGGCACCTTTGGCCGAAGGGGTTTTCAAGCCAAAGAGGCAGATGCCTCTGTGGAGGCTGGACAATTGTGTGGTGAGAGTGGGCAGAGGCCAGGGAAGCAGAATATTTGTACCTGTGACCTTAGTTGTTTAAATAAATGTTTCTTTTGGAGATGAAATCCCTGTGTCACAGACTGGAGACAAGCCCACTCTCCTCAGAGAGAGAAGGATGAAGAGAATAGAGCATCCTGGGATGAAGGGAAGGAACTGTGAGGGAATAGAGAATCATGGGATGGAGGGAAGGGAACCATGTAGAGAATAGAGCATCATAGGATGAAGAGAAGGAATCATGAAGTGAGTAGAACATCAAGGAATCTAGAGCATATGGGATAAAGGGAGGAATCATGAAATGAACAGAGCATCATAGGATGAAGGGAAGGAACCATGAAGGGAATAGAGCATTATGGTATGAAAGGAAGACTTAGGGAATCAGAGCACACTGATATTGAAAGAAGACAAGGCAGGTAAGATGTGATGCCTAGCTCATCTTTCCCTTCCAGGTTGACGATATCCTTGTCCATGGGCAGAGACTGACTCTAAGAAATTTCATCTGTGCTAAAGGCCACGTGAGGGCTACTAAGAGCACACACAATCCCTGGAACCACACATTCAAGGTGTCAGTTTATGATCATGGTTGGCTCTTCTCCACAGCTGGCTGCCAGGAGCTCATGAGTGAGAGGGGGTAGGTGTGAGCCTGGAGAAAGCCCATCTCTAGATTGTAGACACCAAGCACCGAGCAGAACCTTCTTCACAAAGGATAAGACTCCACAACCATCAGAGAAAGAGCAGCAAAGCTTATCTCCCTCCAGAGGGGGTCAGGCTGCCATCTCAATGGGGCAGCCCACTATGGGTGGAGCTTGCCTCTATGCAACCAGAATCTACATCCACATCTAAGGGGTCTGTATCTTTGTAGTTTGTGGCCCAGGGGCCTGCGTCTATACTTCCAGCACCTGTAAGGTCTGTAACTACACAGCTGGTTTTCATAGGGTTCTGGTCTCTGGGGTCCACATCGATGGGGCCCACATCTTTGAGGCTCACATCCATGCTGCTGGTGCTATGGGGCTGCTATCTGTGAAGCCCATGTCCTAAGCTGCCTGTGTCTATATCACCAGTGCTAAGGAGTCTATGCTAACCAGGCTCTGTGGAGCCTCTTCCATATGGCCTGTATCTGTTGGGCCTTGTATATGCTGCTGCAGCTACATGGTTGGCCTCTGTGGGCCAGTGTCTATGCAGCCATGGTTAGTGGGGTTTTGCCTATGTATATCTGCAGCATCTGCAGAGCTGTGTCAATGTGATTGGTGTCAGGTGGGTCCTCGTCTAGGTTGTTGGGGGTCTGTGAAACTGCCATCTATGGTGGCAGGGCCAGGGAGGTCAATTCTACTCATCAGGGGCCTTTCCTACCTGTGACGATGCAGCTGGCCTCTGTAGAGCACCGTCTATGTTGCCAGGGAGTGGGAGACTATCGGGTTTTGGTCTTTGGGGACCATGTCTTTCTGCTGTCATCATCAGAGGCCATGCCTGAGCAGCTGGGGTGTGTGGACCTGTGTTTACGTGGCCAGCTGCTGTGGGGACTGAGTATTTGGCCGGCATTAGTGGGGCTTCATCTGGTCTGGGTTCACCCGCACTCAAGATCAGGGCCTGAGACAAGGATTTGAGTGTAGTAATTTTGGAAGGAAATAATCCCAGGAAGCCTTAGAAAGGTCTAGAGAGAGAAGAAGGGTGAATGGCCAAAGCAGGTGTCTGGATCAGATTTCTACCTGAATCTGACTGATCAGATCTTTATCTGAGGCCCTGCACAGAGACTATCTAAGAGACCGACAGGTATGGCATAACCGAGTCCAGTCTGTTCCTCCAATGGAGAGGAGAGTGAGATCCGCATTCTTTGCTCAGTGGTTACTCAATGGCCTCTCCTTCCTCCATGGTGATTTGTCCCATGAAGATACCCTAGGCAGAGGTCTCAGGTGCTAGTGGAGGAAGCAGCCAGTATAGGAGCCTAGTGAGCATAGAATCGGGCAGGTGATTGGCAATACCTGTTGCCATATTTTCTCTCCACAGCTGCTCCCTTCCCTGTACAGCCCCACTGTGTCACAGTGTCAAACACATTCCTTCCAGTCAAGACAGCCATGAGAGGCCACGGGGCTCTGACAGTCCCATCGCTGGATGGTTCTCCTACCAATGATGACAGATTTAGCTTTGGGAGGTGGTGGCCTAACCTTGACCCTCATCTAAACCAAGGTGTGACCTCAAGTAGGGATAGGCAGGAGAAGGAAGGAAACATCTCAAATGAGTGGAGGTAAGAAAATGCAGGAAGGATTTAAGAAAGGCAAACCTATACATGTCAAAAGAAATCGTTCGATAAGAGGTTCCCCACCTGGCTTCTCATTGAGTTGCTATTTGAGTGTTTTCTGATTCCTGTGGTCAGCGAGGAACCTGAGCATGAGAATTACTTTTGTGAAAAAAAAGTGCTGTTTTTACCTTCCCAGGCTCAGGTTCTGTCAGATAGGACCACCAGGTGAAGATTCCCCACTAAAAAATATATGCTGCCCCTGGGCCTGTTCAGCATGCACACCTGTACAATTGTAATGGAAAATGTTTATACTGAATCCTCACTGACTGCTCATTTCTGGGAGCTAGGAAAGACTCTCCTTTTCTTGGCCTAAACCATGTTTTTATTGGAGGAGAGTGAGCAGGAGCGTGGAAGGGTTGCCTTCCATCTGGCTACAGTCAACAACATCACAGGCAACATTTCCTCTGGCAGCCTTTGGAGAAGGATGGTTATTTGTGTTAGGCTGATTCCCAGGGGGCGGGGTGACCTTTCTAGGGTCACGTAACAGGTGCAATTGAGCAGAAGCATGAATGAGTCTGTGCTTGCAGATCCTGGCGGCTAAAACCCTCAGCCCTTGTGCTCCTCCCTCATTCATGGTTTTCTGTACATTGGTACCAGGAGTAAGGATGGAAGTGAACTTGCTATTGACCAGAGGGTTTCCTGTTCGATTTGGAGCTCCTTGTCATGGGAGCAAAGATCAGATTTGTTTTCATGGCCTGGAAGCAAATACTTGGCAATAGAGTTAGACAGACTGACAAATCACCAGCCAGATGGACTTTCCAAAAAGTTATATATAACTTTAAAGTTATATATAAACTCTAGAACAATTAATAATAACAGTAGCTAAGAGTGAATAGATGTTCATAATGTGCTTTCATTGTAGAATACTTTTAACGTTAACTGAGATAATCACAACAAACTGTGATGCAAACACTTGATATTTATTACCCTGGAAGCTAACACAAGACCCAGGAAAACTCAGCTAGCAAGTGACCGACAGGACAAGCAACAGAATTTTCAGTGCAAAATAAAAATGTGGAACTTCCTTAAAAATGATTGAGCATCTGGGTGCTGGTGGCTCACACTTGTACTCTAGCTACTCAGAAGGCTGAGATCTGAGGATTAAGGTTTGAAGCCAGCCCAGGACAGAGTCTGAGACTCTTATCCCCACCAAACTACCAAAAAAAGGTGGAAGTGGAGCTCTGGCTCAAGTGGTAGAGTGCTAGCCTTGAGACAAAAAGCTCAAGGACATCACCCAGGCCCTGAGTTCAAGCCCCAAGATAAGCACAAAAGAATTAATAAAACAGAACTTTAAGGAAGGGACAGAAAAACATTGAGACAACCATGCTGTACTGAAACAGCACCCAGTGACCAGATAGGTCCAGGACCCTGATGACGGGGCTGGGATATGAGCTTTAGGACCCCCTATGTAGAGTCTGAGTCCTTGAGAGCAAGACAGTTCTGCCTTCCTACCTAGAAGGTTGTATAAAAACCCTTATCTGTGCCTGTCCTGGTTGGGGCTGATTCTGAGCTTACGGCATCGATTTGGCTGACAGTGCTCTGCTGTCCTCTAGTGGTAAGTTTCTGCATAGCCACACCTGCTTCAGGAACTAAGCCAGGGTCACAACTCTTAAGCCAAGGCTCCCAATAATATCTCAAATTAGGAAATTTTCGTCTGTGCTGATGCATCAGGGACAGTGTTAAAACTGTCATTTCCTCTTTCAGCATCTAAATTCCTAGTCCTGCGGAGGCCAGCTGGGTGAGAGGGTCCCAAATGTTATTCCCTCTTCAAAACAATATTAAGTGCCTTCTGGCCCCATGGCCTCCCTGGCTCCAGGTAGAACGGATCCAGTCCCTACCACCTCCAAAGCAGTCAGGAAACCCTTCCTAGAATTATCCTTTGTGCCGCACCTTGGTTGATCTTGAATAAGGAAAAGCCAACTCATTTCTTCTCTATATTTATACTCAGGGTACTATTTCACCCTGACACCCAGCGGTATGGCTTTTTCTCACAGTAATTCTGTTGCAGATATGTCCTATTGCTGAGTTCAGTTCTGCCATGAGCTACAGAGGGGTCATATCAGAACCTACAGATTAAGTCTCAGCCTCCCGAGACTGTCCCCAGGTCTGACACCAGTCATGAGTCCTGGGTGTAAAACAGGCTTACAGTGCACTGGCTACTGACTTGTCTCTGTCTGCTGGGACTGCACCTGCACTCACACCACCTGAGCAGTTTATTATTTACAGACAGGCAGCAAGGGGCAACAGGAAGCTAGACTTCATTATGAGCAGGTCTCTCCAGGCTGCAGGAAAGCTGTGTGGAGATATGGTATCCCACTTAGGTCACACTTAAGGACTCTAGAAAGAGGCCTGCACTCAGTTCTAAATAAGAGGCAACTTAAAAGTTGCTTTTGGTGAGCCCATGAATTAACTAAGAGCAGGGTAAAAGCTGGGCACCCAGATGACCCTCTCCTTTGCCTCTGTGCTCTTTAATTTGAGCCACTCTCTCCTGCAGTCACTTTGCAATCAGTCTAGGTTCCAGGAAGGACAGAGGCTTACTTTAAAGCATCTCGTGACAAAAGGAAAATTGCCCCCAAAGAGAACAGCCAAAGGCTGGGGACAGACCAACCGCTAGGAAGCAGCAATGACCTGATAAGTCCCTGTTCTCCTCAAGTGGTGATCCGGCTTCCCCAGAACTTCTTCCAAAGCAAAGACCAGCCAAGGAGGCTCCCTGGGACTTGGGACTGTTGTAACTGCACACCTTTCCACCCTT